CCACTTTCCATCTGTTCTCTTTATGGACTTCAGTCAAGACAACATCCCATAGTAATTCGCACGTGGAAGTAGATGTTAGGATGTGTTTCTCTCTTGTTAAGCCAGATTCTGAGTTTTCAAAACTATAAAACAATATTGTTCTCCATGTTATCTTTATTTGGGGACATAGCTACTTTCTTGTGTTTTATGGTGATAATAATGTTTGTAATTTTATTTAAGTGAACTAGTAAGTATATATTTTATCACCCTATCTGTAGATAAATTTATATAAATAAAACTTATCCAGCATCTTCAAAAACAGGGCTTTACTTGATTGAGCCCTGTGCCCCGGATGTTCAAACCCCTTCTTCATGCAGGCTGCACTTTGATGTCTTTATAGTATCAGTGCATTTTCTGATCTTGGAACAGAAACCGGCTGGAGCACTGGCTCAGCAGATGGAGATGCTCACTGCCTTGCCTGGAGCCATGAGCTCTGTGTCTGAGATCTGCCTGGTAGGAGGAGTGAACTGATTCCTCAAAGATGTGTTCTGTGGCGCATGCCCACATCCGTATGCACATAAGTGGGTGGGAGCCTTAGATGTTTTATAGTGCAGGGCATCCTGTGCAGACTTCGCGTGCTGTGAGAACACAGTTTATTCTCTTTGTCATTGTATAATGGACTGACCCTAACAGACTGTAGATAGACGCTCAGCAAACATTTCTGAATTTACATGTTTATTAGTTTTATGATTTATTTGATTTCAAGTGTATGAACGTTTCACCTGCATGTATGTCTGTGCACCGTGTACACGCCTGGTGTCTGCAGGAGACTGACGAGGTGTTGGATCCTCTGGAACCAGAGTTAACAGATGGTTCAAGGCAGCTTGTGTGGGTGCTGGGAACTAAACCCAGGTCTTTTGCAGGAGCAGACAGTGCTGAGCCATGTCTCCAGCACCCATGTTTATCTATTTTATCTAGCTTTTAAAAATCATTGTCTTGATAAAACAACAACCAAAAAACCCCATCATTATTAGTAGGAGTGGGGCCTGCTGCAGTGTGGGGGCGTCGGTCAGATGACAACTTTCTGCTGTCAATTCTCTTTCCACCTATGTTGGGTCCAGGACTAGAACTCAAGTGGCCTTTACCCACTCGTGAGCCTCCACTTTAGCTAATTTCCTCATTTCTTGGCTCTGTCATATTCATCAGCTTTAAAATTATAAAAGAAAAAGGGAGCTACTTATTATACAGCACACATGTCACGTGACTTGTTTCCATCACTTAGTGCACAGCACATCCCTTGTTTCCATCCTTCTTCCTAACAGGAAAGCTTTCCTAACAAACTTGTGCTTGTTTTCTTCTAAACCCTTGTATTTGTGCTGGGTATGGTGGCAGAGTCTCTAATCCTAGCACTCAGAAGGCAGAGACAGGTGGAATTCCCATGAGTTCAAGACCAGCCTGGTCTACATAGTTCCAGCACAGCCAGGGCTATGTGGAAGACCCTGCATTTTGTCTTTTTTAAAGGACCCTTTCATTGCTTACTTTATAACAACAAATGAGCCTTCCCCACTGCTTTGAGTGGTTAGTCTCCTCCCTGGCTGGGACATGATTGGATAGGAGGGTATGCTGCACACATGGTGTGAGTGTGTGGCTGCTAACGGGGAAGATGGAAAGTGTGTATAAAGTAGAGGTGCCTGTAGGACATGCTTGCTGAAAGATGTGCTACTCAGGATACGTGAAACAGACGGCATCATTTGAGACAAGCTGTGCCTGGTGGGATGGACCTGGGTGTGCATCTGTGAGGATTCACATCAGAGGTTCCAAATATAAAGGTAAAAAAGACAGATTAGGCTTATAATGTAGAGCATGTTTAACAATATATTTAAGACTTGTCAGCCATACCTAGAAAATTAAGCAAACTCAAATATCTTATATGTAAGGAGGGGGAACCATGTTTAGGGGTAGCATACAGAATCTCAATTTTATTATTTAGTTTGGGAAAGTACTTCATTTGTAAAGAAATGACTTTTAAAAGGTCTTGGAGGTAGGTAGCAGTTACTGAATATACTTGTCAGGATGGAGGAAGTCAATAAGAAAAACCTGGAGTCTGAGGTAATCTGCAGGAGGCTTAATCAGCTGAGGACTCTTGATTCTGCCCCACGGGGCACTCTGCTGCCACTCCCCTTCCCTAAGACCAGAGCTAAGGAGCACAGAGAAGAAGGCCTGGCTGCATGAGGCCAGAAGAACCAGTGCAAGGCATCACTGTGGGGTTTCTGGATTCTGTGACCAAGAATGAATACTTGAAGTTGCTAATCTGGTATTCAAATTCGTTCAGCGTCTTACAGAACCTGCGCTAGGACAGGAGCCCTTGAGCAGTGGAAGAGTCTGTTCTCACTGCATCTTGACCCATTGAGAAGGAGTTGGCAACTTGAAAACAGTTGCCGCGATTCTGGAGGGAAGTAAACTGTGAAAATGGATACTATTGACTTATAGGACATGTATAAATACTGTAGGTATTGCTGGCAAGCATGGTTGTGTTGAAGTAAGAAGTTACTTTGAAAACACATTCCCTCTTGTGACCATTGGCCCTGCTGTACAGAGCAAAGAAGGTGGAACGAGGCAGATGTCACATTAACGAGAGGTGAACATTGCACCAAAGCTGTATGTGATTAATGCATGGTGCTGGGAGTCTGAGAATAGGGCCCAAAGACTGCCTTAAAAATACCGTACAGATAGTTTACGGTGAGGATGGAAGCTGCGGGCTATAGAGATCCTCAGCCAGCAAAGCATTTGCTGCACAGATGTGAAGGCCTGGATTTGGATTGCTAGCACCCGCATAAAAAGATGGGTGCAGAGCACACAACACCCACAGTCCCAGCAGACAGGCTGGTGGCTCCCTGGAGGTCACTGGCTGGTCAGCACTGCAGAATCAAAGTGAGCTCAGAGTTCACTAAGAGACTGTCTCTACCTCTCAACACAGACATGCATGCATGTCATACACAGGTGTGTGCACACACAAGCACTCACACTTACATGTGCCCCCAGCTCCTACCAAGGGACTAGAAACTGAATTAGAAAGAGAATCCTTCAGACTTGTCAGTTGATGCATGCATGTTGTAAAGGTTTCCAGGATGAGATTTATTTTAGTTAGAACTGCAAGGTGGATCCAGAAAGCAAGTGATCTGTAACCTAGGCAGGGAGCATAAAGTGTGCCAGGTACGGAAGTAAGGGCAGGGCAGAACCTAAGTGCAGTGTGCAGGTCACTAGGTATGCAACTGAGTATCCTGCCTTCCAAGGCTGACAGAGCTGGGCTGGAGCCTTATGAAATCGTCCAGGTAAAAAGCAGACTACTTACAAACCTGGTTCCAAAGCATTTGTTAAGAACAGGAGGGTGGGGACAGTGCCTGCCTGTCTACTCAGGGTTCCCTTCCTCAGCGTCTCCCAGAAAAAAGCCAGCATAGGGTAGATCCTTAGCAAGTACCAGTGTAGTGCATGAAACCCTAATTTCTTTCTTTCTTTTTTTTTTTTTTTTTTTTGGTTTTTCGAGACAGTTTCTCTGTAGCTTTTGGAGCCTGTCCTGGAACTAGCTCTGTAGACCAGGCTGGTCTCAAACACACAGAGATCCGCCTGCCTCTACCTCCCGAGTGCTGGGATTAAAGGTGTGTGCCACCATCGCCCAGCGAAACCCTAAATTTCTATGCTATTGTTGAAATAATGATGACTGTGTTATGGGTATAGTGGCCATGCCTATAACCCCAGCATTCACAGGGTAGACTGGAGGGGATCAAAAGTTCCAGGCCACACAAAACAAACCAACAAACAAATCCTTTTGTGAATAAGGAAAGACTACCGACATCTCACTAGAGAAGATATGCCCGTGGGATGTGGGCATACGAAAATGTATCACATGTTATCAGAGAAGTGCAAGTTAAGATGAGCTTGTATCCAGTGCGACAGCAACCACAGCCCGGAACACTGGCATCGGAGGACACGGGGAGAGCAACCCAAACTCCCCCGCGTTGTTGGTAGAGTGCAGCAGCTTGCACCATTTCCAAAGTCAGTTCGTCACCTGGCTCCACTAAGTGCATTCTTACCACACCAGCCAGCAATCAAGACTCGGTATTTATTCTGTCCGCGTAAAAACCTGTGCATAGATGTTTAATATCAGTTTCATTTACAATTACCAAAACAGCATAACCAAAATGTTTTTCATTGGGTAAATGGACAAATATACAATGGGCAAATATTCAATATTCAGAGGGATTAAAGGTGTACGCCACCAGCAGCTTGAAAGGTTCAGTTTTAAAGGCTGTGTTATAATCAAAGCGTGTTCATCCTTAAGAGTCAAATTACAGGAAACAAAAGGATGGATTTAAAGGAAGTGTGGTCATGTAATTCCTGTGCTCTTGTGGGCTCAGCAAGCTCCTCTGGGCTGTACACTTCCTTGGGCCTTCTAAAGGCTCTTTTATGTACCACAAATCTTAAAGAGCTGAAGATTATCACAACTAGTTACTTATTTGAACTTCTGAAGGGAAATTTATAACTTAAAAATTATATCTTTCTATATAAGTATATAAATTATATATTTAAAAATGTATATTAATGAAATATACAGCATATAAAAGGGAAGGTTATTACAATTCTTAATATTAACTTGGTTTTTGTTTGTTTGAGACAAAGTCTCACTTTGTAACCTTGGCTGACCTGGAGCTCTTTATGTAGACCAGGCTGGCCTTAAACTCCAAGAAATCTGCCTGTCTCCGCTTCCCAAGTACTGGGATTAAAGGTGCTGGGGCTGGAGAGATAGCTGAGCAGTTAAGAGTGCTGACTGCTCTTCCAGAGGACCTGGGTTCAATTCCCAGCACCCACATGGCAGCTCACAACTGTCTATAACTCCAAAATCTGATACCCTCACATAGACACACATACAGGCAAAACACAAAAGCACATAAAATAAAAATAAAAAAATTAAAAATAAAAATGTGTTTGCTGCAACACCCAGAAATGTTATTATTATTTTACAGATACAAAAATATACGAAGCTTCAGCCTCAAACTACATAGAGCAAACATGAATGACATTTCGCAAAAGGCAGAGGTAAGTAAATCTCAAAAGCTCTCCTGTCTTGTGTGTGTGTGTGTGTGTGTGTGTGTGTGTGTGTGCGCGCGCGCGCATAGGAGCGGAGCGGGGAGGCAGGAAGAGACTTGGAAAGGTAGGAAGAGATGAGCAATACAGAGTTGGAGGATTGTGGGAAGGGTCATACTTCGGTGATTGTAATTGGTAACATTAGGATGTACAATGAGAGAAGGTTCTGTCTGCAGTGTTGGTTCAGTACCTTTAATCTGGGTTCTGGGAAACATGCATACCGAACTTCTGGAAGGCAGTGAAGAGCTAGGGTCTTAGGAAGAATTTTAAATACATTGGTCTTAGTAATGACTCCTTCAATGTGGCTTTACTGAAACTGGGACCATTGGCGGTGATAATTCGCTCTGAAAAGAAGGGCTCAGCATCTTCTAGCAACAATGAAGGTCCTCTTAACTTCCACCCTTTTTCTGGCTTAGTCACTGAGAATTGAGAGGCCCCAGATGCTGACACTCGTAAGTGACGAGCTAAGGAACTTGAATGGACCAGTGACGGTAGATCGGGCACAGATCAGCAAGCTGCTTGTCCCTGTTGTTAGGAGAATTTAGCATTCTGACACTCAATTTTTTTAACCTCTTTTAGAAACTAACTTCTGAAAAAGATGAGAAGAGTCTACAGCCTTAGTTTCCGATGAGGGGAACCATTGATTGCTCTAGCCTCCTGTCAGATTTCCTCTTTCAGGTTTCTCTTTGAGCCTCTTCTCAGTGGTGGGCCACCCTGCACATTTTAATGAGCTTTTAGGAAGTCATTTTTAGGCAGCACAGCAGGAAGCTGACTCACCTCTTGCGGGGTTAGGCTGGCCTTCAGCTTTGCCTAGCCTGTCTAATATAACAGCAATAATGCTTTTTTTTGTAATATGGGCTTTTCCTTGAAAGCCCAATCTTATGCTTTGTTCTCAAATTCATATCCTTTACTGCGATTGATCTTGTTAATTGAGGATTGTGATGACAATCCTCAATCCAGGTCTTTAGGAATAGGGTCGGAAAATAGAATACAAAGCAGTTTTTAATTAGAGTTCCTTATTTGATTTTTATATTGTACTGGCCTCAGTAGAATGCTACCTTTAATTGGGGTTTCGTTTCTGAAGAAGTGGTGATTTAGCAAAATTTCTGCTCTCGTATTTCGTGTAACTTAAGGAAATTAACTAAAGTTTTAGAGACCATCTAATCACGCTGTAGTGATCCAAATAAGCATTTGAAACTTGCTTCTATTTGTTTTGATGAGTATTTTGATGTGTCTTATTCTTATCCTTGCCTAATTTCTTCTTTTTAAACTTCCTTCTCTTTGCTTTCTTCTAACGAAGATTCTGCTTTCTTCATCTAAACCTGTCCCCAAATCCTATGTGCCAAAACTTGGCAAGGGCGATGTAAAGGATAAGTTTGAAGCCATGCAGAAGGCCAGGGAAGAGAGAAATCAAAGGCGATCTAGAGACGAAAAGCAAAGAAGACAAGAACAATATGTTAGAGAGAGAGAATGGAACAGGAGAAAGCAGGAGGTCATCTGATTTTATTTTATTCTCGTGAAAATGTTACTTTTCTTTATTTTAATAAATTATTGACACTAACATTTTATATAAATTATAACAAAAATGCCTATATTTGTAATCTAATTTAAACTGTGTGTGATCCCCCTTCTCCCCTCTCTGCAGTCCCCACTGTGATCCTCCTCCTCCCCTCTCTGCAGTCCCCACTGTGTGATCCCCCTCCTCCCCTCTCTGCAGTCCCCACTGTGTGATCCCCTTCCCCTCTCTGCAGTCCCCACTGTGATCCCCTTCCCCTCTCTGCAGTCCCCACTGTGTGATCCCCCTCCTCCCCTCTCTGCAGTCCCCACTGTGTGATCCCCCTCCTCCCCTCTCTGCAGTCCCCACTGTGTGATCAGCTCCTTCCCTCTGCTGCTTCTCTCCACTGCTTTCATTGCCTGTCATTAACCATGGTCTAAAATAGTAAACTGAAGTTTCCAGAAAAGTAAACAAAAGCTTTAAATAAATTTCATTACAATATGTTTTAATAATTATTTTCTTTTATAATTACTTGTTATTTTCTTACTGTACCTAATGTAAAAGTTAAAGTTCATCACAACTATAAGATCTATAAAAATTATTTTCCTTATTTTAATATATAATTTTCCTATAAGAAAAAACAGCATGCAGTCTCAGAATTACCTGTGGTTTCAGTGATCCAGTGGATATCCTAGTGGGTTCTCCTGCAGCGGGGGTGGGGCTACTCAAATATAATCTAGTCTGATGTTGGGCCATATGTTCATGGTAATTTATTTAACCACCCAGATTAAAGAAATGCTTGCTTCTGATGATGAGGAAGAGATTTCTGCTAAAGTAGAAAAGGCTTATGTCCCAAAGTTAACAGGTAAGAACTTTGAGGGATAAATGTAAAAAGGCTTGCAAAAGAAAGAAACCTGGCAAAATAGACAATTTTTTTTTTGTGTGTATTCTTAGGGACGGTTAAAGGTAAATTTGATGAAATGGAAAGACACAGACAGGAAGAGCAAAGGAAGAGAACGGAAGAGGAGAGAAAGCGCAGACTTGAACAGGACCTGCTGGAGAAGAGGAAAATGCAGCGTGAATTAGCAAGAAGAGCTGAGCAGGTAGATGCTACAGTGCCGCTTGTTTCTGAACCCAACAGAACAAATGAGAACTAATCAGGATGCTGCCTCGTTAAAATATTTAATATAAGCTTATTAAGAGTGGCTAGCCTAAAAATATTATCTTAAGGGATGCCCAGTACTATGTGCAGAATGTGCCTGTTTAGGATGGTGATGTGGCTTTTGTTAGAAATGATCTTACCAACTGTTTCTACATTCCTTAAACTGACTATCGTCCTAACTTTTCTTGGTATCTTTGAGAATTTTATAATGATATAAGACATTTTTACACATAAACTATTCATAATCACAGAGCACAATATAGCCTTTTAATAGCAATATTTAAATTTTCTATCATTTATAAAACAGATTTTTATAAAAGATTATGTCTATTCTATATGTAAGAGTGTTTTACTTGCACGTGTGTCTGTACACCTTGTGCATGCAAGTGCCTGCAGAGGTCAGAAGAGGGCATCAGATCCCCAGACATAGACAGTTCTGCACCATTATCATGTATGTGCTAGGATCCAAACCCAGATCGTCCAGAAGAGCAGAGGAGCCCTTAACCACTGAGCTGCCTCTCTAGCCCCTTAAAGCAATATTCTAAGGGCCTTAAAACCATATGCTCTGCTCCTTTCAGCTTCTGCCACTTGTCAGAGAGAAAAGTGATAATGAAAATAAAGCATTATTATATACTTGCATTCCTAAGAATCCATTAACTTCAGTTTTGCAAATAAGCTCTTCTTTAACACAAACAACTACCCATTTGGTGGCAAATGGTGACACATGTCTATATGCCAGATTAAATGTTAGGAGCAATGAGAATTTTCCTATACTTTTTCTTAGTGAAACGCTATAAAGAAATAGAATTATAAAATGAGAGCTGTTGAATTAATTATCACCATACATAATTACTACAAATAAATAAGTATGTATGTATATATATGATTTAGGAATGTAGTTATATTAAAACTATAAAGTAAACGAGTAAAAGTCTATAAAGAGTGGCTTCTTGCACTGTATACTGTGTATGTATGTAGAATTAGTCTTCTATACTTTCAAAGCACTGCTATTTTCTAGGGTTACTGACCCATTTTAAACCCAAGAATGGAAGAGTAAGCAGTTGTTTCTCAAAAAAACAAAAAAACCTGTGAGTGAGCGTGACTATAGTAAAGACTGATGCTCAGAAGGTAATTGAAATAAATACGATCATGAAGAAAGCAGTGTCTTCACACCAAACATGAGCTGTGCGGAGGGCGCCACAGAGCCCTGGCTAATGATGCTTTAGCCCTATTAAATTAAGGATACAACAGCAGTGAGTGTAGTAATGTCTTCTTAGAAACCTGTAAAGTTTAATTTTAAAACATAAGACATTTCCCACTCAAATTTACTATGACTCAGTGCAGTGCAGTATGACGTTATTTGTTTATAGTTTACTTCTACAAACCAGTATGCAAGAGGAGTTCCTAAGCCAGAAACGGCTAAAGTGATCACCAAGATCTTATCACTTCTAAGATTGCAGCATCTTACAAAGAATTAAAAAGGAATGTACCTCGTGTATTAGGTACTAAAATAAAAAAAAAAAAGTGTGGGAAAATCCTGAGGGTGTATTATCTAGTTAACTCTGAAGATAGCCTGATGGACAAAATTTAAGAGTCCACCATTTAGGGACAGATATTGGTGGGAAATAGGATCTTGAAGAGAGGCAAGAAAAGAAATATAGGGATGAAATAAGTTTGCTTCCTATGAAGAAAAAACAAGAAGAAAAAGAAAGTTGAGAAACAGTTCTTTGTTAACTTTGAAAGTCAACACTTAACTGAATTCTGAACATTTGTTCCTCTTAACTATACTAGTAGTGTAGCCCTGAACAAAATTCATCATTTTTCATTTTGTTGGAGAACTCCATGGTTCTCTCTTTTGTTGTTCTTTAATGGTTTAAAGTGAGCAAAGATAAAGACACTGACAACAGAACTCTAAGCAAACAAGATGTAGAAGCCCTGTAAGTGTCTGTCCACTTTAGCAGAGATCAGACAGACCCAGGGGAGCTCTAGGAATAGAATTGGGGCTCATGAATTGTTTCTCTTTCCTGTATTCTCGGTGTCTGACTTCTCACATTTTGTGGATTTTTTTATTGAGGAATTAATTTGATTGCTCATTGGAAAACAACTCATTTATAATTATTTTATTAGAGAACCATTAAAATTTTACTGTGTATGATACATGATTGAAAAAAATCTATTCCATTTATATAGCAAGTCAGTTTAATGAGTAATTATGTAATAAAACAAATTATTCTCAAAAATTAAATTTTGTAGTATAAAATTATTCTGATAAAACTATTCATTATTAAAATGTAAGGTACTTTAAGTTTTGTCTTTTGAGATCTGGTCTGTCTAGGTAGCCCTGGCTGTCCCGGAATTTGATACCGTAGATGAGGCTGACTTCAAACTCACAGAGATCATCCTGGCTAAATTTTCTCTCTAAGTTCTTTTTTTTGTTTTGTTTTGTTTTTTTTTTTTTGTTTTTCAAGATAGTTTATCTGTGTGGTCCTGACTGTCCTGGAACTCGCTCTGTAGACCCCCTGCCTGGGCTTCGTGACACTTCAGACTTGTCTAAAGTTCAAACACTGCATTGCTAACACCATCTGTTTCCTTTCTCTCAGCAGTCTGCTAAGCTCCAGCTCATCAAGCTAACCTCATGATATTTCTTCAGAGAAATGTGCTCCAACTTTAGACGATGGCCTTTTCCCAGTTCTGTGTGGCTGAAATATGAGAAAATATTATAAGTACCAGCGTTAGCCTCCCTTCTAATCTAGCTAATATTTCTACCATACTTTATTATCGTGTCACTTACATTTTTGCCAGATATATCTTGATAAAAAAAATAGGGTCACAGTCATCTGATTGTGATCAGTGTTCCTGCTGCTACGGGAGGGACAGAGGATGGGGCGTTTCTGTGTGTCAGTTTAGACTGCTGCTACATTAAAAATTGTTCCCCATAAGCTCACAGTCAAACGTTGAAATTTTACCAGAAGATGCAGCTAAATTACTTTTCAGTTGTATGTTTGAAATCACCAAGCAGAAACTCACTGTAATGTAACGATATGAAATTCTCATTCAATAGATTGAGGACATAAACAATACGGGAACCGAATCCGCATCAGAGGTAACAGACGCTTCCTTTAATGAACCATTCACTGAAAATTATCTGATTCACAAATTATCTTGCAATCCAAGAAGGCCATGCAGAGGCCTTTATTTCACTATTGATTATAAATCTCACAATGACAGAAGTCAAGAATGTTCTGTGAAGGCAAGAGCATGCCTGGGCCCTTTCAAACACTGCCATGTGTTTAAAGAAAAGTATGCTTCTGCCTGCACAGTGGGTCATGAAGACAGGGCCCGGGAGGCTGTTAGGGACACACTGCCAAGACCACATGGTTCCTGAACTAACCTCGCTGGCTGTTGGAAGCTGGCATTGTAAAAGGGCAGTTTCCTCTTCATCATCTGTCTTCTTTCCTCAGAGTTCCTAAGAGCTCGAGTTCTGGCTTTCACACACCATTGTGGAGGGTAGTGTGTATCACTGTGAAGGAATGGTCCAATAACCTTAAAAATATAACCCAGTCAACTAGCAAGGTTAAAATCCAACCAACCAATTTGATGGTGTGCCTAAAATTATGTTTACAAAATTGGAAACATTTTATTTTAGGAGCGTGTGTTACAATTTATAATTTTTATTTTTGAAAAAAGTAGATGTAATGATAAATTTGTAGTAAAATCAATTGTAAGAGAATGCATTTCGGCTAGGTGTAGTGGTGCATGGCTAATTCCAGCACTCGGGGCAGAGGCAGACAGATCTCTGAGTTAGAGTCCAGCCTGGCCTACGTAGCAAGTTCAGGACAGCCAGGGCTACATAGAGAGACCTGTCACAAAACAAACAATTTGTTTGAAAATTTAATAGGATAAATGCTTTACAGCATTATCTATACTATGTTAGTATATCACTTGGGTGAACAGTCAATCGCTTTTCTCATTAAATACTACTTTATTATATTAAGTACTGAAAAATTTGGAAGGAGGAGCAGATTATGGAGAAAGCTAAGTTGGATGTTAAGCCAAACTATCCACCATCAAATTGGTTTCAGGTATGCTCACATGCACATCACCTTTTGTGTAACTGATGTACAGATTGTCTAAAATCAGGCAGTGGTACTACAGTCGTTACTTAACTAGATAGGGTATATTAATCCTATCTTCCAAAATGCAGAGTGCTTCTTGAGACTGCCATAGGTGGATCTCAGGAAGCTTCAGTAGCATGCACAATGAGTTCAGAGAAAGATGTATTTAGGAGTAACTAGTTTTAAAAACTAAAAGGTTTTTTTTTTTTTTTTTTTTTTTTGTCCTTCATAGCCTTGACAGCAATGTAATTCACCACTTATGGAGGTGAAGTACCCTACCACGTACATTCTTACTAAGAGTATGGATGCTAATTGTCTTTCTTACAAATAGGAAGGAGATGACTCACTGCTTATAACAGTGGTGCCTGCCAAATCGAACAAAACATCTGGAAAAATACAGAATCCTGAGGACCTGGACAAAGAGCAAGGGAGTGAGAGGCTTAATCATGAAGACGACAAACGAATAAGATATGAAGAAGAGGGTCGATCTCTCAAGGAAGCAAAGTGTCTGTCATTAGTCATGGTAAGAAGGTTTTTTATGAGAACAAATCCAAAGTTTAGTTAACAGCAATTGTCCTTTGGGTAACAAGTTTGTTTTCATAGGATGATGAAACTGAGGCCAAAAAAGGATCCCATTTTCCTGGAAAACTGAAATTAACTTTTGAGGAACTGGAGCGGCAGAGACAAGAAAATCGCAAGAAGCAAGCAGAGGAGGAAGCGAGACGGCGCTTAGAAGAAGAGAGGCGCGCCTTTGAGGAAGCAAGGAGGCACATGGCAAGTTATCTGTGCTGGCTTTGCCTTCCATCAGGAAGCCTCGCACGAGGCTGACTGCAGGTCCAAGCAGGCTCTCTCTGGTGGGGAAGCCTCATTTCATTGTGTGTGTGTGTGTGTGTTTTTTAAAGTATTTATTTATTTATTTATTTATTTATTTATTTATTTATTTATTATGTATTACAGTATTCTGTCTGTCTGTATGCCTGCAGGCCAGAAGAGGGCACCAGACCCCATTACAGATGGTTGTGAGTACCATGTGGTTGCTGGGAATTGAACTCAGGACCTTTGGAAGAGCAGGCAATGCTCTTAACCACTGAGCCATCTCTCCAGCCCCTTCATTGTGTTTTCCTAGCACTATGAACTGGACTCAGAGCCTAGTGCATGCTAAACAAGTGCTTTGCCACTGCCTCTATTCAAATCCCAAAAGGCATGGCTTTAAAACCATATACATCTTTATATACAATATACATACATATAATTCATCTGTATTTTCTTTGAGCTTTCACTTTGGGGCATCTTATCCAGTATGCTTTAAATTTTTATTTTTAATACTGTATACTCTATTAATATATAGGTATTACTCAATGCATTTGGCTTCCCTTTGTGTGTGAGTTAAGAAGTATATTTAATGGTATGGCTGTAGGATATATTTAAGTCAAATAATGAATTTCATTTGAGGAGTACAGGTCTATAATTCCAGCTGCTTGGGAGGATGAGGAAGAGCACACATCCAAGGTTAGCCTGGACTACTGAGTTAGTCCGAGTTAAAGCCAATCTATGCATTTCAATATAACTGGTAATCAGCTTAATATTTAATTTCAATTAATGTTTAAATGAGCAAGTAATTGTGGCATGAATTTTATATATAATAATACCAGATGACAGTCTTTTATCTGATTAGTGTTAGGAAAATCGCTGTAGTTCAAAGGAAGGAAATTCTTTTTTTTTTAATCTTTTTGAGTCAGGGTTTCACTGTAATTCTGGTTGTCCTTGAGCTCACTGTGTAGACTAGACTGGCCTTGAACTCACAGAGTTCTGTGAGAACTGGGATTAAAGTGTCTCCGTGTGTATGTACCTGAGCTCTAAGTACAAACTGTTTAGTTTATGAGAATTATCTCAGTTGAGCCCTTTAAAATTTGTTATGCAGTCACCTTTATTCAAAAGCTTGAGGGGCTGGAGAGATGGCTCAGCGGTTAAGAGCATTGCCTGCTCTTCCAAAGGTCCTGAGTTCAATTCCCAGCAACGACATGGTGGCTCACGACCATTTGTAATGAGGTCTGGTACCCTCTTCTGGCCTGCAGGCATACACACAGACAGAACATTGTATACATAATAAATAAATATTAAAAAAAAAAGCTTGAGAAATTTTATTTAATCTAGAGTACATTTTTACTTGTAACTTCTCCACATTTGATTATTTTATCATATAGGACATTAAAAAGGAAGAGGATTTGGCCAGGCATGGTAGCACTTGGGAGGAAGAGGCAGGTGGATCTCTCTGTGTTTAAGGCTAGCTAGGTTTGCATAGTGAGTTCCAGGGCAGCCAAGGCTATTTAGAGAGATCCTGACTCAAAAATCAAAAATACAAATAAAAGCTAAATAAAAAGTAAGAGGTTTTGGAGTAAGTATTCTGGGAGCAAGGAAATACTCGGTCAAGCTGCTAAGCACATGCCCTTCCCTGGCAATGCTTTCCTGTCCCAGTGAGTCTCAACTTTTAGTAATGCATAGTTTCTTTATTAGGTAAATGAGGAGGATGAGGATGAAAACCAAGATACGGCAAAAGTATTTACAGAGTACCGCCCTGGAAAACTCAAGCTCAGTTTTGAAGAAATAGAAAGGCAAAGGAGAGAAGGTGAGAAAAGAAAAGCAGAAGAGGAGGCCCGGAGAAGAATAGAGGAAGAGAGGAAGGCATTTGCTGAAGCAAGGAGAAGCATGGTAAGACAAAGTTACCTCAACAGTTTGTGTGTGCATCGTGTGTGCACTTGTGCAAGCTGTGGAGAGCCAGACAACCACCTTGGATGCCATCCTCAGGAATGGCTGCAGTCTGAGGATTCCTGTCTCTGCCTTCTCAGTGCTGGGGTTATAGGTGTGCACCTAGTTTGCTTGTGTTCTGGGGACTTGAACCCAGGTCCTCAAGCTTGAAAGATGAGGACTTTACTGACTGAGCTATCAAGCCTAGCTAGGGATTCAGTTTTTGAGGCTGTAAATGAATTGATTAGACTCTGAGGAACATCCTGTCTGTCATCTCTGAAATCTGTAGCAAGCATATGAATGGCAAATAGGTTTTAAACACCAGTCCCTTGTCAGTATTTTCTTTGGCCGTGTCAAAAGGGTTCTGATTACCAATGCATAAAGGGTTGGGCACTATCTCCCTCTCTCAAAGATCCATTTTCTAGACCAGATCTGAGTCAAGAAAAGTCAGGGAATTTTCCCATACAGTCCCTCCTCCCATTCCTCTCTCTGCTGCCCCTCTCTCCTTTATTTTTTGCCATTTTAATCCCACTCAGTCTACTTAGATGGCCAAAATAATTTAGTCACAATTCTCTAACTCTTCAAAACACCCATCATTCTTTCTTAAACAACGATACCTAATTTGTCACAAAGGTAAACTTTCCATGCCATGCTAATGTTTATAACATGGCTATCTGATCCACCAGTTTTCTTGTACACTCAAATCAGAAACTTGGGAGCCTGAAATTACGTGCCTTCAACCTTTCACTCATGCCCAAGTGGCTATAAACTCCCATTTATTCAACGCCCTGACTTACTCTCCCATCTTCACCACCGTAGTCCATAGCACTGTTGCTATTCCTTGCCCGTGAGTCCAGGAGAGGATTGTTTCACTCCGTGTCCATGTCTGCAGGCAGACCACGGTTCAGATTAGAGATAGAAGTCTTCACTTCCAGGAAAACAGAATTACATGACTTTTCATGGTAAGATATATCTGACAACAATTTACAAGCAAAGTTTCTAGTTCAGTTTGGAGATTGCTTGTCCTCAGGATGTGATAGTATGATGAAACTGTTTTGGGGACCAGGAAGATAGCTCAGCTGAGTAAAGATATTACTAAGCCTGATGATCTAAGTTCAGTCTTAGACACTTGCATGATAAGAGAGAAAATTTTTTTCTGAGACCTAAATGCCTCCCCCCCCCCCCCAATAAATAGACAGAGGAACATTTTAAAAAGTTTCAAGGGCTGGAGAGATGGCTCAGTGGTTAAGAGCATTACCTGCTCTTCCAAAGGTCCCGAGTTCAATTCCCAGCAACCACATGGTGGCTCACAACCATCTGTAAAGAGGTCCGGTGCCCTCTTCTGGCCTTCAGGCATACACACAGACAGAATATTGTATACATAATAAATAAATATTAAAAAAAAAGTTTCAAACCTTACTGTTGAGAGCCGGCTATGATGTTAGACAGAGTGCTACCTATTTCCAAGCTTTGTTTAATCCTGTGACAACCATAAAAAAGTCATCATGGTGGAGGCTCAGAGTAGTAAGTGGTTTGCCCAAGGTCACAAATTAGTTACTCATAGAAATTTACAAAATAGTGAAAAGCAAAGCAGTCTGTTAATCATTCCCATTTCTAAATAATTTATTGTAGTGTATCAAATACTAGGTTCCACCTTAATACTTTCCTACAGGTTTCATATAATTTATAACCTTTCTAGAAATATGCTGAAGCCTGACTTCTGGCTTTGTTAGCTGGCCTTTCTGTTGATTTTGGACTACTTTTCAGCCAATGCCTCAGGTCCTCACGTGTAAACCAAGGGTGATTACCCTCAGCTACTTTATAAGGTTACAGGGTTAGCTAAATCTATGCATCTGTTAGTGGACTGGCAGTTCTAAGAGTATAACTATTATTACTTTAAAACATCTTGGCAACAAAACTTCACAATAAAATTATGAATTAAGGCTTTTTGTTTTTGTGCTAAAAGCTCATGATGATCCAGATGTAACTACGACTTAACTGAAATGTCCTATTCAGTGACCAGATTTGGAGATTCACTTCAATTAAAATGTTCTCAGTGTCATTAAAATATATTATTGCATGAATATTTTTGTTCATTTGAATAGAGACTAGATACAGATGGTTACCATCCTCCACACCACAGATACCCCAATCTTACATTTTTCATAATATCCCCTTGTTCATTGATTTGAGTTGTAAAAGTTTATGATTTCTGAATTTTTAGATCAACATAAAACACTTATTCAAGAAGTATCAGTTTCTACAATATCATTTTTTAGTATGCACAATTCTGGAAAAAATGATAAAAATATTTATTTTAAATAGGTATTAGATGATGATTCCCCAGAGATATATAAAGCAGTTTCCCAAGAATCTCTGATGCCTGGAAAACTGGAAATTAATTTTGAAGAATTATTAAAACAAAAAATGGAAGAAGAAAGACGACGAACAGAGGAGGAACGGAGGCATAAACTGGAAATGGAAAAACAGGGATTTGAACAACTGAGACAGGAAATGGGAGAGGTAAGGTGGAAGAATATTCACTTAAGAGATCTGAGTGCATTCCTTATATTGCTCTATTGTGACCTTTATGTTATTAATCACATAAGGATATCTGACATACTTTTATGATATATATTCTTAATATAGGTGTGTGTGTCCAACCTGGTAGAGTGTAGCTAGGAATATGGCCTGACACAAAACTGAAAGCTATTGGTATCTTTTTAGTTATTTGTTGTAACTAAAGTCTTTTTCCTGTGCGAACCTTGTAGGTAACAGTATCTCGATGCAATGTCAAAAAGATAGTAAACATGTTCTTCTAAAGGACTGAGATCCAATTCCCAGAACCCACATGGTGGCTCACAATCATCCATTAACTCCAGTTCAAGGGCATCTGATGCCCTATTCTGACCTACACAGGGTATGCATGTAGCACACACAAACATCATATAGGCAAAGCACTTATACATGTAAAAAAAGATCTAAAAAGTTGTAATCAATATTGTATTTAATTGTGGGTCCAAAGCACAGTAGTATTGATACTAGCAACTTAATATGCCAAAGAGAAGTTTTTGTTTTGTTTTGCTTTGAGAGAGTCTATGTGTAGCCTTGACTGTCCTAAAACTAGCTCTGTAGACTAGGGTGGGCTCCAGCTTAGAGATTCACCTGCCTCTGCCTCCCAAGTGCTGGGAGTCCATGTAGCTGTCAGAGAAGTTGGAGTTATACAGGGCTTCCTTCATGTGGAAGGTTGGAAGTTGTTTTTTGTTTTGTTTGAGATGGGGTTTCTCTGTAGCTTTGGAGCCGATCCTGGAACTGGAAGTTCTTAATAAGTAAATGTTTTTACTTAAAACTTACTTGATGTGTTTTGGTGTTCTTGCCTGCACGTATGTTACAAGCAGTGCCAGCGGGCCTGAAAAGTATCAGATCCCCTGGAGCTGGAGTTAAAGATTGTAAACCTCCATGTGGGTGCTAGGTACTGAACCCAGTGCTCTTAACCTCTAAATCATCTCTCCAAACCCAGAAATAAAACTCTTAAAACAGTACACATAGGATACCATTTGACCAATGGCTTCCAGGAATCTGCCTGTTTGTCTTGGAACATACTCCCCTGCCCCACATTCACGCGCAGATGGGAAGGAGATCCACTGTAATTCACTGATAATCAACATAATCTTACTCTCTTGAAGGAGGAAGAAGAAAATGAAACTTTTGGATTGAGTAGAGAATATGAAGAATTAATCAAATTAAAAAGAAGTGGTTCTATTCAAGCTAAAAATCTAAAAAGCAAGTTTGAAAAAATTGGACAGTTGTCTGAAAAAGAAATACAGAAAAAGATAGAAGAAGAGCGAGCAAAGAGGAGAGCAATTGACCTTGAAATTAAAGAGCGAGAAGCCGAAAACTTCCACGAGGTACATTATTATTGTATTTGTTATAACCTTAATCTTAAAATAAGTTAGTATTTGCAGTTACTTATTGGCATATCTCTAACAATCTGAAAATAGCAAAAGACCATTTAGCTCATCATATAGCACTGAGTCCAAAAGGATGAGGGAAGAATGGATAGAGTGCAAAATGAGGAAAAAGTGGAATGGTAGCAAACTAAATTTAGAAGCAAAGCAGGATAAGTGACAGTTGGTCTGGGGACACACAAATGAGCCAATGGTATGACAATCTATTGTGCTGGATGTTAGCTGCTGCTGTGAAGCTACATTGGACATAGTGTGCTTAAGAGGTTTGTAGGGCTGAGGCATTTCAGCGTGATGTAACAGTGGCAGCTTTCCCTGGCCCCCTTTGGGGTTTCTGTAGAAAATTCTTCCACAATGCTTTGTGATCTAAGCCAGAAATGGCTCAATCTTAACATTTTAGAGTGCTGATGGCTTTGCTCCCTAGCCAGCATGTATCCCGTCTCTCTGTACCATTCCAGACTCCATGCTTTTTAACCAAGCAGGCTGTATCTTCAATACCTGCCTTTGTTTCTGAAATGCTTTCTGCCGGAAATGTTTCCTCTTACTGTCCTGTGAAAATAACTTTCAGCCTTTAGGGTCAAAGGCTATCTTCTCATTTGTAAAGTATTCTCATAAAAAATGTTGTGGTAAGAGGAACATTCTAGAATGAGGGACAGTGGAAGTCAACAAGATTGTACTAATTTATTTGAGGGACTCTAAAACAGGTTTCAAGGACTTTATAATGGTATGACTGAACTGAACAGGTTATAAAGTTGTCAAAGTACTTTGTGGCTAGTTATGAAAGGACTTCACCTTACAAGAACTGTAATCAGCAAAAATGATAATAGAAATTCTAAATAGTTCTACCAAAGAATTCTAGCATCACAATGAAGTGGAAAACAGTCATAAAGGCAGGACCAAAGGTTAGGTAACAGAAAAACCCTTGGAGTCCTGATTCTTCAGTGTCCACCTCCTGACACTGGGATTATAGACATGTACCATGCTTGGCAAGACCTTTTTTTTTTCTTTAAACAAAATGGGGTAAGTTCTCTTCTAGATGGTTGCTGAGGACCTTACTATTGTGGCATCATCACCAGGGAAACCAGCTGGTGCTAGATTTATCAAGTCTGGTGAGGTATTAAATTGTGTTAAGCAAGGTAAAGACAGTCTGACGCTGATTCTGAATTTAGTGAGATGCAGGTGTATGTTGTAAAATTATTGGTAACAGTGGGAAAGTAGTAAAATAGTAGTCTTGTGATAATTGGAGAACACTAGCATTTACTAGCCAAGTGGTACGAAACAAAAAAATTAGAATCTTTAAACATAGGTAAAATTCAAGATGGGTATGAAGAGACAGGATGAGTCAAGGGTAGTCTAGACTCCAGGCCTTGTTTTAAACAAAACCCCAGTCTACCAAGAAGTTGTTCTTTTGTTAAAGATACCCATTATAAAATCTGTAAAAATAGAACCAGTATGTTTGATGCTTTTCTGCTTCTGGCACAGGTGTCAGATTAGGTTGTCCTCAATCTGAAGAATGTGTAATTCTCTTCTATCCCTTGGATAAAGGCCCTTAATGACCTTTACTTCCAGTGATAGACTTCCTCTCCAACCTCCAACTGTCTCCTGTTGAGAGCTATCTATGTTTGTAAGAGAGTGGTGCTGCACCTCTCATCCTAAGGCAAACTTAGGCTTTTAATGTTGAACGTGGTGAGTTCCAGGCCAGCTAGACATCTTGTCTTGGGGTGGGAACTACAAATTATGCCTTCCAACTTCCAGAAGATTCCAGACTTCTTTGAAGGCACCCATACAACCTTCGATTTAAGAATCCAATATACACTCATAGTACTTTATACCCCCTATTTGGTTAACCAATTAAAAGGTTATACAGTGTCTGAATTTGTGTCTTCAGTATCCCAAGCTGGCAACAAACTTCTCACTTCCACCAAGCGTTGGACCACCAAATGCAGGTATGGAGATAAGAGTCACGTTTGAGGACTCATGAATGCTAGACCCGCAATCTGCCAATGGAGCTACATTCTCATCCTCTGACTTGGTTTTCTAATGTCCTGCTGTATTCCAGGAGAACACTATGCTGCTTTAATATCCTGGCACCAATACTGTCAGTGCCCTATGACTTTAGGTTTCCTTCCCATAACACCACTCTAGTTTTCCAAAGGTTCTAAAAAAGAGAACATCGATGTTTAGCTGCTTGACATTCCTTTCAGTTAGTCAACTGATTTTCTAAATGCAGTTTTGAAGAAGCAATAAACTTGTACGTTTTCTCACTTTTCCTGAAAATCTAAATAGCTACAGTATCACAAAAAGCAAACCAAGTGTTAAATATTTTGTGCTTGTAAATTACCAAGTCACTAATGCATTCATTTGGCAAGCAATTTTCATTCTTTTTTAAGGACGACGATGTTGATGTAAAGCCTGCAAAAAAGAGTGAATCTCCCTTTACTCATAAAGTGAATATGAAAGCCAGATTTGAACAAATGGCTAAAGCAAGAGAAGAAGAAGAACAAAGGAGAATTGAAGAACAGAAGTTACTACGAATGCAGTTTGAACAGAAAGAAATTGATGCAGCATTACAGAAGGTATGCACCTACATATCAGAGGGAGTTCTTAACCCATTTACAAGCAATTAAGGCATTGTCCTCATAGCTTTCAAGCCATTTGAATGGTTTTACAATCAACGAAACCCAGGGTACCATGCATGCTAGCCAATGCTCTAACACTGAGCTATATATACCCCAAACTTTTCTTTACCTCCAAAATTCTATTACTAAAAACAAATGACAACTTAATAAATGCACTTATTTTAATACAGAGACGAGAAGATGAGGAAGAAGAAGAAGGGAGCATCATTAATGGTTCTACCACTGAAGATGAGGAGCAAACCAGATCAGGAGCTCCATGGTTCAAAAAGCCTCTAAGAAACACCTCAGTTGTTGACAGTGAGCCAGTCAGATTTACTGTTAAAGTGACAGGAGAGCCCAGGCCAGAAATCACATGGTGGTTTGAAGGAGAGATGCTACAGGATGGAGAGGACTATCAGTACATTGAAAGAGGCGAAACTTACTGCCTCTATTTGCCAGAAACTTTCCCGGAAGATGGAGGAGAATATATGTGTAAAGCAGTCAACAATAAAGGCTCTGCAGCAAGTACCTGCATTCTTACCATTGAAAGTAAGAATTGACTTTTAATCCTTTATTTTATTAAGGAAATAAATGGGAAAAATACCATTCTTCTCTCTCTCTCTCTCTTTTTTTTTTTTAGTGGATGACTACTAAGCTTCCTTCTCTCCTTGGAACTCTCTCTCTCCAACTCTCTTGCTACATCTCTGTGGAGGGGCTAAAGGAGACCAGAGGTGGCACCAACTTGACCTAATACCTTTTCCCCACATCTTCCAACTAGCTGATCCAAAGAATGCCTTTTCCAATGCACATCGGGTTACCATGTTATGCCCAGTCAAAATGTAGTTGACAGGGAAGGGAAATGTACTCCTGTATGAACCTAAAGCAAATGCTTTGTATCTTCCATATTTATAGCCATTATGTTTAAAGTTTGCATGAATAAATGGAGTTTTTACATCTAAAGTTAGCCAGAGAGGACAGTCTGCTGCGGACGCCAGTCTTTCTGAAGATACACTGACAAAGGAGGACTGCTGGAAAGAAAAACCCAAGCAGGAATTTTTTTTCTAAACTACTAAATCAAATTTGATAGAAACCAACGTTTAAGCAGTGTTCCAAGTGTGATAGATATTAACATGTGTGTCTCAAATGTATAATGACCATACTGAAGTTTATGCTGTGACCTGAATGAATAAATGATACTATAATGAGAAAATATTAGTACTCTTTGCAGGAACAAATGTGGCTTTTTTTTTTTTTTTTTTAACAGTTGAAGATTTCAAGATTTAAGAGGATTAGATTCAGGGAAAAGTGATTTTAAAATTCTAGCTTTATGAGTTCAAGGTCAGCCTGGTCTGGTCTACATAGTGAGTTCCAGGACAGTCAAGACTACATAGAGAGACTGTCTCTAAATAACAACAAAGAAGTCTGTAAATAATTATAACTTATGTTCTATTATTTGGTTGTTTTATATTTATATTCAATTTCTTGGAAAACAATTTTATTTTACATTATGAAACCATAATAAAGTTACCTGTGCATCAAAAGGCCTTTCCCCCCCTTATTTTAAAAGCTATGCAATGGGCTATCCGCTCTTTTAAAGTTTAAACAACTTATCATTAGAATTAAAAGGCAAAACCACCACCAGTATTTTTCTCACAGTAAAATTTTAATGACAGAAATAAAGGAGAAAAATTTTAACTCAGTATACATATCAAAGACACAAAAGCACTCTGGTAAGTCATCACTGTACATTTATTGTTTTAAATTAAGAAAACCATAAAGAATACAAAATCACAATAATCCAATGCCCTTTACATACAATGTCAATAAAGCAAAACTCTAAACCAGTTTGTAAAGTATTCAATTTACCTCCAGTCCAAGCTGCATCTCCCTAAGACACTGTTCCCATCACAGTAGCCATTTTAAGCCAATCTTCTTTTAACACACGGGTAGTTTCTGTAGAGAACACTTTTCTCAGGACGAAAATGCATCGAGCATGCATAAGAAAATATATATATATTTGCAAATACATTAAGAGTTTCTTTAGGGTATCATTCAAGAAACTAAAGCCCTGGCATTTGCTTTTTTAAAGCCATCATTTAAAAAAAATTTCTCAATTCGATTGACTGATTAAACAAAAAGCAGGGTCATTTTCGGTCAAATTATCTAAGTATTATGAAAATGCATTTTAACGCCAGGCAGAATTTGCAAAAAATAAATAAATAAAATAAAAACAAAAAAAGAAAAAAAGACATCTCCAGTGATCAGTTAATTCTACATCAACATTCTATACAACATGTTAACCATTTTTAGGAAGAACTGGTTGTATTGGCAAAGCATTCAAAAGTGAATGAAAACTTAGGGAAGCACTTGCTATTCTAAACTGACTTTAATGAATTAACTACCAAGATATTTAATACTTTATAATTAGTATCAAATTACTAGTTTTAATATTAAAATGATTCTCATTACTAAAAAACAAGTATACATTTCTGAAACAAACATCAAAGCAATGAACACTAAGTTATCACTCCACTAACATGTATGTCATTAAAAAAATCTGTAAACTTGTTTAAATGAGTTTAATTTCAAGCTAAATCATTCAATTTTCTACCTTAAAAATCTGCTGAATTCAAATCAACTGGCACCTTTTCTGCTTTCAAGTTTACTTACAAGTAAGTTTGGTGCTATTTAAAATGCTTTAAACCAGTGAAGGTTTAATGGTAATGAATTGAAACTTCTCACAAGACAGAAACAATCCCCAATATCTATAAGCATTCATCCAGATTTCCAAACGCCAACTACAGCTAACCAAAACTTCACAGGCTCTAAAGAGATACCGATCCAACCTCTCTCAATCTCTCTCTTTCTCCCTCTTCCTCTCTCTCTCTCTCTCTCTCTCTCTCTCTCTCTCTCTCTCTCTCTCTCTCTCACACACACACACACACACAGTGGGTGTAACAACTATATAATTTTAACAGTTCATGGAACATTTAAGTGAATAGCACTTTAAAATGAAAAGTGATCAAGATTAAGAGCAGGTACATCATACCCTATACCATATTATGTATGGGAATACATTTCATATTTCTCAATTATGATTTGCCAATTTTACCTTCTACATTGAGCCCTTCTATGGTCCATGCTCATCGGCTCACCAATGGCATACACTCAAAGGATTCCTCTTTATGGGTAACTATCTCAGGACCTGATATTATGAGCTATGATTTGGTGCTTGCAGCATCTTCAGCACTGTGTGTGAAAATGAAGGCAGTATTTTTGAATATTTTTCTTTGTTGTAAAGATAAGCAGGAGTTTTTAAAAGGATCAGCACATTTAGAAACTGAATTAAAAACAAAACTGATACGGTGCTGTTTTAAGACACTCATCTTAAGTCAAAATATGTACTAGTTAAACATCATTCCTAAGAACACAAACATTGTAAACTGGCAAAAAAATAAATGCAGCGTCAGTTATTAAAATATAAACCAGAAAGTTGGTTATGCAGACTATGAAAGTTATTTGACACAGTTAACATTTCACTGATGCACATGCCTTTTTTCAAAACTTACTGCCAGTATTCCTTAGTCTTCCTTGTCAGCATATACAAGTCATGGAAACAGAACTGTCTAGGAAACTGACCCAAAATGTTCTTACTGAATCACTATACTTTAAAGCAGTAATAATAAAGGAGGAAAAAAAAAAAAACAAAACTAAAACCACAGGCTTGGAGGGTAAAGAAAATGTCCTGTCAGTTATACAAACAGGCTGTGAAGGCTGTTGAAATTTCTGACCAAAAGATTTTCTAAGTCTTAACTATTTAACTGTTCTTACTGTCACACTTCTATAACTTGGGGAAAATGGGTACAAAAAGATCTGGGTGTTTTCCAGTTATAACAGCAATCTACTCATTTTACTTTTAATGAAAAAATTAAAATAAAAACCATTACCCAAAATTATAAACAGTTGCTTCAACAAATTAACAGACTTTCCACTAGAATGGTAGCATAAATAACAAAATACATTTGGGGAAGCAGCAGCAGATTGCTTTTGAGTACACAACCACAAAACCTCACAGGGACAACATTAATGTACTGATATATTTATATATATGTCCTTAGGTTGTGCTTACCTGTTGCTTTTTGCAGCAGAACCTAAGGTGGAAGGTCTGGGAAGGCACTGTGAAGTATAAATAATTGCACTGTTTGCAATTAATAAGGATTTTAAATTTTAAACGAATCAAAATCAACAGCCTCCAATTTGTGAATGATACTGAATTCAACTATTTCCTTCAGTTTAATTACTAAATGCACCACTTTCCTACGTCATCCATCTATGCAACAACATCATGCAATACTGAAACTGTTCATGTCAATACCCTACACTTAATAGTTAACTCCTTAACTAGTAAACTTCAAACTAGACTATGTATCCATATCTAAATAAGGGTAAGGGAAGTCACTCAAAGTTACATAAAACAATCAAAAACATTTCAAAACATCCACAATGAGCTGTACTGTTTTCTGCCCTATTACCTCAACATTTCTGTCCTCATACCTCTTCCTTTAAAGCATATGCAAAACACATGGTGCTCACCACAGATAAAACATATTTATGAAAAGATGCTAAGTGCTACATTGCTTATAATTTGCAATCTGAAAAACACTGTCTTACACATTTCAAGTTTTTCATCATTAAAGATGCATATCTTACAATGAAAAATCGGTATTTTAGGAGCACCGATAGATAGTACTATTCAACTTTGATAATGATCAATCTTCTTTAGCTATTAGCTAAAGCATATCAAAAATACTTACCCATTAAGCTCACTTAAAAAAAATACAAAACTATGTATTATTCTATGTTAAAAGGCAGTTTATGTTTTCCTATGATATCAGCACTGTATTCCAACATAATATTCACACAAAATATAGCAATTGCATTATGTGGAACATTGACAAAGAGACACTGTTGCAGTTCATCAATTTGTCATTCTGATGTACTTACAGTGCAATGCTCCTTGAAGGAACACAATCAAGGATGATACACAGCACAGTCCTCCTCACCCCTACAGAGCTAGTCCTATACTGGCTGGATCAAACCTGCACTTCAACAGACAATGGCAAGACAGACTGTATTTGCATGTAGTCTAATATATTAATATGCAAAGAGCCAACAAATATGCAGAATAAAACAATGGTTTTCAACAATATCAGAACTTCAGCATGAATGTTAAGAGTAATAAAATGATTCAAGTACACAAAAAATTAATTTGATTCAATGACTGGACTTGTGCAATTACAAGACAAGGCTTATCTATAATGCAAAATGAAAAAAGCTGGAACGTTTTCATACCCCAGATGTTTCAATGGCAGATGCAATGTAGCTATATTTTTGCATACTATTTACTTTTCTACCCTAAATTTAGAAAGAAACACACTATTATATACATTGAAATAGTTGCTTTACATGGAAAACAAAAAGCTTCTTATAAACTACTCAAATCACTGTCTGAAAACTGTTCAAAATTAGTTATGCTGAAACAGTCTTGGAAATAAGTGAAAAACAGAAAGGTTAACTGTTGTAGCAGCAGTACAGGTCTCATATATAAACAGTGCTCACATATAAAAGGAAATTTCACTGTTAATGCAATGGAAGTATACTAAAGATCATTGTATATACATGCAGTTTTAAAATCAAATAGAAGGAAAAAAATGAAGATATCAGGATTACTTGTGCTGAAATAGCCAAATACAACAGAAAAGATCCTCCAATCTACCACTATACTGCAAGGGGAAAAACATCATGCCAGTGTTTAAAAACTCAGTAATTCATGGGGAAAGCTTATATAGTTGTGTATATGTATCTTAATTTATCACTGCTAAGAAATTATGAATCCTTTACCCACATATCCAACTTACCGACACAGGAGGTTTCATATCATTTATTGTAAAGCACAAAACAGGCATTTTAAAAGTGAAAGTATACATTGAAAAAGTACATTTATATCACAAAGCATTGACCACATAATAGTTGCAAATACATTTGCTGGAATGTGTACATCTACACTAAAGACTAAAAACAAACCAGTTTTCATTTCTACACAGAAATATTAACCTCCTATCAGTAGTGATAGATATTTTGTACATTTTCAAAATAAAAAAAGGGGGGGAAAACACTACTTTAAACCAAAAACAAAATTAAGATCTTCATCAAGTCGTCTGCATCCATATATTTAACAAAGGTTTTTTTCCCCCACACAATGAAGCAAATACTGTATTGTCCACTTCTTATTATTGGCCCTGTGCAGAAGAGATACATAAGAGATACACAAAAAGTTAAAGAAAATCCTTTAAATGGAGCTAATTCAGGAGTGAATCCTTTAAGAAAGAAAAACTGGTTAATATAAATGATGGTGGCTTCTTGCATGATTTGCAAATCCCTGGGGGAAGAAAATTATTTTTAAAATCAAAGGCATTATAAAAATAGCACGCAGATGCCAGAAAGCATTATTTAAAAACCAAATCCCCAAACACATTACAATTTCCTAGTTATACTTTATCAACCAAAATGTAAAACACATTCCCAAACATACAAACATGCAAAAAATATGGTTGGAGGAAAAAAAAAAAAAAACCCAAAACCAAACCAAAAACACACAAACAAAGCAAGTGTATTATACCTGAGGTGCTGGAGGATGCTGCGGCATTCCTTGGGGACTTGTCTGGGCATAGTATGCTGCTTGTTGTCTATAGTATTCAGCCCAGGCTGCACTATAATCTGGCTGCCCACCTGGTGGGGCCCCAGTAGGAGCAGGAACTGCTTGACCTTCAGGGAAAGAGAGGAACTTTATTGCTCCAACCATATATAATTAAAAATCTCATAGAATCTCTTGGCTAGTAAAAATAATACCTTGCTTCTTGTAATATTCCTCCCAAGCCTGTGAATAATCTTGTGTCTGCCCTTGTTGACCTAAAGAAAACCCCCTGGATTTTAACATAAATTTCCACCCACTGTTCGCACAGCTTTATAATGACAGGCATAGAGGTTCTTGTTTATCTTGAGTCAGGTTTCACTTAGGCAGCACAGGCTGGCTCAGAACTTGTAATCCTCTTGCCAACTTCCCAAGTGCTGGGATTATATATGTGTCTCATTGACCCTTCAGTTACTGTTTATTTTATTATGCCTTAAAGAGAGAGGAAGGGAGAATGAGAAAAAAAAAGGTGCAGCACGCATAAAGAAACAAAAAAAATGCTCTTTTCATCTTAACCACAGATTTTAGTCTTTTAGTTCATCGCGCTATCAACAATGACGAAATGAAACTCGCACAGCCTTAAACAAAGGCAAAGATTCAGACATTTTGACAGGCAAGAAGAAACTTTTGTCCTTGTCGTCCCCCGCCCCCACTGGATTTGAGGCAGGGTTCCTCATGTCCTTGCTGTCCTCAAACTCAGAGATTTGCCTACCTCTGCCTTCCCAGTGCTGGGACTAAAGGTTTGTGCCGCAGTCACCATGGAGGTTCTGTTCGGTCTTGTTTGTTTGTTTGACATTGAGACAGGATTTCAAGATCCAGTTTGGCTGGCCTAGAGTTCTTGCTATGTAGACCTGGCTGTCTTCATCTTCAGAGAGGTACCTGCCTCTGCCTCCTGAGGATTAATGGCACGCGCCACCACACCTGGCTCACTATTCTTTTATCCATTTTGGCCATCTGTTATACTGGTCTTAAACTATAATAGAGAACTACTGATATTTATATTTAAAATCAATATTTTATAAAAAAAATTTATAAAACACACACATGCCATAACACAAAAGACCTACTATGTTCATATCAGAGTACAGTTTTGCTAAAAATAATTTGGCAGCTGATAAAAAGGACAAGATCAATGAATCAAATGAAACTCAGCTTCCACGAGTAGTTTTGTT